TTTTTTTCCATTAACTAGCTGAACGCGAACATAGTCAACAATGTTCTCAATAAAAAGAAATGGCATTTTTCCTTATCAAATATGCAGTGGTAGATTCACATCCTTTCCTTTTTCCCCTTGAGATCAAATATTAAAAAATAATGTGTACGTGTGATAATTGAAGAAGCAAAATAGACGCAATTTTGAGACTAGAAAAGTATAGCAACTAATCGCAATAACCATATATGGAATTTGAGCAAATCCGAGAAAGCTCTCGCAAACAAAATTCATGCATTTGGATGTCCTGCACGAAATCAGCTTACACGGTTCTGCATCTAATTATTGAGACAATTCAAAAATGAACTAAGCTACATACAATGTATTTTGAGAGAAATTTAAATGACTCTGATCTTTAGTCAATATGTGGTAGATCCATCAACTGTAAATTAAAGCAGGTTTACTAAAAAGCAATTCTTTTTCAAAGCCCCTACTTACATTTTTTTCAAGACTTTGCCCATGTAACCCTTCACTTTCAAGTTATACGTATACAGTCCAAGTACCTGTTTGCGTTTTCGGCTAGTTTGAGCACTTCGCTTGTTACGAATCTTTCGCCGAATCCTCTTTAAATCACGCTCTTCAGCTTTCGTTAATGGATAAAATTCCGGCAGAAGAATCGACTCTTTTTTGCATAGCCTCTTTTCTTCTTCTGTTAGAATTAGGGCGGGATATTTTCGTTGGCGCTCCGCTGAAACACCATGTGGTTGAGAAGGTAGAAGAGGAAACATAATGATAAACTCAGAAGTCACCTGTTGGTCCTTTAATGCCCTGCGTTGTTTGTGTAGACCCAAGATTGGATGATGATGCGGAAGAGTAAGTTGACGGTGTGCTTAGGGAGATGTTGGCTGGGTTGCGTAGGGCAGGCTCTAAATTTGAATATGTGGTACATTTTACAGTCATGAAAGGTGTATTAAAGGAATGTTCGGCAAGTAAAATAAACTCTATTTCAACTTTTCCCCCATATCCCGTTCTTTCAGCACGATTAGACCTCTATACTCCTCTCTTTATGATCACTCTTCCTAACTTTTTTTTTAAGTTTCAGCAACCGTGATCTGAGCATCAATGTCAAGATTTTTTTTGTTACCAAACGCGTTCCCTTTCCGAATGGATGGTAAAATCTGGAGTAATCTAACTCCCATTCACAGATTTATGCGCGGGTTCTGACCCTAATTATCTGTCTTATTTCTAGAGTGGATCGGCGGTGTTACGTGATAAATACCTAACGTTTTACTTAGGTCAAAGGGTACGAAGAATCACCAGAAGTTTATGAATTCAGTCATTGGTACTAAATAGCAAAGCCAATCGACACTAAACAGTTACAGCAAAATGAGAAATTTCAACAGAATCTCCAACCAGTAAGGCTATATTGCAAAAATTGGCGCTAAACAGAATGTTGTTCATGCTCCTAGTAAATAACGAGCTACTATTTGGATACCTTGGTCACTCCGTCAAGGTTAAACCATTCATCGTTTCATGGTCGAGAATGGTTTGTTCGCGTGTGAGAAATTAACCTTTGATCTTGAGGTGGCGAAAGTATCTACAGTATCAAAAGCACATATAAAAAGGACAAGTGAGCTGATCATCAGCTAGGCTACGGTCAGTCATATTCAACATCAAATTTTTTTTCTACTGAAACAATTATCTTTAATGTGAGAAAGGGATATTTAAAAATTCGCCGTAGTGCAACAAGGCAATATCAGAGTTATTTCAAAATGAAAACACGTACAATAGCTGCAAATGGATATTGAAGGGTAGTGTAGTTGTCGTTTCAGACATGATTTTCATTACAAACAACATTTGATCTTCTCTCTGTGATAAAGGGCAGAAAAAATGAGTGGATGGATGGTAGGAAAATTTTGACGAAATGAACAATAAGGGGAGAGGGGAGGAAGGGAATATTTTTGCACTTTGCGAAACACCTAATTGCAAATAAAATCCTCTAAAATTTCTTCTAATGAACTATTGATTTTGTAAATTACAAACACAAATATTTTGCAATGGGACGTTCTTCTCAAACATTATTGTACCACGATCAACTTCATTTACGTATGGTTTTGTGTTGTTTCCATGACTGGAAAGATTTTGTAATTGAATATTCGTCTTTTGGATTTTATGTGATAAATTCATTCAAATACGAATTGAAAACTGCTGCATTATAGGTTCTTCTCAGTGCGCTAGATAGCTGAATACCCAATTACAACATAAACATGTATGCCAAAACTCATGAGAACTAACCAAGCGATCTGCTAATTCAGGTAAAGTAAGCACTGTTAACCACAACGGTAAAAATGACCTCCAAATTCAATAAATTATTGGTGAAACATAATTTCCCTTCAAATTTCTAAAAGCACTCCACTGCTATTTCCCACTAGCCAAAGTGTTCTTGAAGGTGCCAGCAAAAAATGCCCGATCGATGCATA